AGGTTACGTGAGTCAAAGAGCTTTTGGATGATGTTTCTGTATAGTTTCCCTTACCTAAGTGATAATGTCTCGTAACCAAATAGGTTTGCTTCCATGTTTCATTCATTACAGACTTCTTAACCAGTGTTTCCAACTCCTGTGGAAGGATGAATTTTTCCGGTGTTGCTCACGGCTCTTTTCTTATTCCTAGGTGGAACCTGGCTCTACATGTGCTGTCTTTGGTTTAGGAGGAGTTGGGCTGGCAGTTATAATGGGCTGTAAGATAGCAGGAGCGTCCCGGATCATTGGCATTGATCTTAACAAGGATAAGTATGCCAAAGCCAGAGAGTTTGGAGCTACTGAGTGCATCAGCCCTCATGACTTCAAGAAGCCCATACAGGAGGTGCTGGTTGAGATGACCGATGGTGGTGTAGATTACTCGTTCGAGTGCATTGGAAATGTTGGAGTCATGGTGAGTGTTTGTGTAGCAGTAGTACTTAGAGGGAGGGGATAGCCAGTTGCAACTTAGTTGTTTGGCTGAATAGCAAAATGAGCTGCCTTCTTGTTAGAAAAAGCATGCCATACTGACTTATTAATTTTATAAATAATAATGATAACTGTTATGACTAAAAATGCCAAGTTGCATCCAATCATAACAAAAGCAGATGCTGTTTCCTAGGCTGAAAATGGCACTTAGAAGGAACTTTTTTCCTTCTTGGGAGTTCTCTGAAATGCTGAGATTTCGTATGTCAACAAGTGAAACATTAAAAAACCCCACATAAAATATATTGTACAGCAAACAGTAAAATCTCAAGGACCGCTTAGTGTTTCTCTAATTCCTCAAATAATTAATTTAGCCATTGGAAATACAGAGGTATTACTGAATAAGTAGTTACTGAATAAGGCTACGTTTTCAGGAATTACAACATTCCTAAGTGTCAGTAACATGGTCTACATTGTCTTTGATCACAGTTTATTCCAACTTTGAGTGGGAGTTCAGAGTGACTTCCCTGGAAGCCAGACAGGATATAAAAGGAGCAAAGGCAATCTTTAACAGTGTAAGGAATCCAAACCAACAGAAAATTTAATGTAACTTTCAGTGTATATATTGTTCCTTAAATATTAATGCAGTGATTCATTAGCTGGGGGAAAGGAAGTGCAACCAGTGTAGGCAGTGTAAACATTAGCAATAAACGCTGTGCTTTGTCCTACCATCTGTGAAGAGGGCTGCCTTGGAAGCCTGCCACAAAGGCTGGGGAGTCAGCGTGATAGTTGGAGTAGCTGCGGCTGGTCAGGAGATCTCCACCCGGCCATTCCAGCTTGTAACTGGGCGGACATGGAAAGGGACCGCCTTTGGAGGTAACTCTTTTTTGGTATGGGGATAAAAATAATTGACTATGGATTAAAGCTGGGAAGAACACACCTCTCTGCTTTTCCTTGTGCAAGAAGTGTACTGCTGATAGACTATTCATAAATGCTGTGTTGACTTTTAAGAAAAAGACTTTTAAAACCCGCTATTTCTCCAGACAGGCTACAAATAAACACATTGGTATGATCTTTCACAGACTTTGAAGAGAGATTATAACTACATGCTATTCAGTACTAAAGGAGTATTATGGAGGGATTGCTGTATCACCAAGGGAAGGTTTGGTTCAGTGAAAGATCGTAGTCTTTGGGCACATGGGAACTCACATAAACATGTTTGTGTTGCTTAATTACTAAACAAACTCTGGGGCTATCACGGGAACATTCTATAAAGAGCTATAAAATAAAAAGCAACAAGTGCCTGATACACATCTTCTGCTGTCAAACCAAAACCATAGTGAGACTTTTACAGCTACTGCTAACCAGGAGATTCAGTAATCGCTGAAGTTCATGGAAGTAACCAAACTTGATGTTATGATTACGTTGCCTTTTTTACACTTCAAAACTCTGTTGGCTTATAATGATACACAGAGGGGCTGATGGAGATGCCTTGTGCATGCTTTCCTAGGTGAGGGCTGCTGTTAACACTGAATGCTGAAATACCTAGTGAAAAGGTCAGTGAACTGATGTGTCTGGATAACGTGCTCTTGCCAGACCTAGCTGTCCACTTGCACTCCTTGCTCACTGCTTGCCTAGAGCAGGAGGAATAAAGATGTCACTGATCTCAGTTTCTTTTGGTATTTATCACACAAGTGTCCGTGTAAGGGTTATTTTATTTTTTTTTTCTCTTTGTTTTCCAAGGTGGGTGGAAACGGGAAAAACAAATGCATGCTTTCTGTCTTTCAGGCTGGAATAGCGGAGACAACGTACCAAAACTGGTGACTGACTACATGTCCAAAAAGATCAAGGTTGATGAATTTGTGACTCACACCCTGCCTTTTGACAAAATTAATGAGGCTTTTGAACTGATGCATACAGGAAAGAGGTAATGTTCATAATGTTGAAAGGCGTAGAAGACATTTCTTGACGAGGCACTGTCAAAATACAGTTTTCCTGCCCACTTTCAGGTTCAAACAGGGAGCATAAAGGCTGACATACACCACACACATTCATTCTGAGTAAAACAAACACTTTCCCTGAGCTTCTAGGCATGTGTCAAAACACAGGCACAGAATAAAAAGTAAGCAACAATGTATAAGGGAAATACACAAGTATGTAAAATTGATAAAGGGGACTAGTAAGTCTTAGGCTTCCAACAAATATTCTTCCTCAGAAAAATAAATGTAAAGAGTCTGAAGGGGAGTTCACAGTAATACATTTTTACAAGTCATTAAGCTATTTAGTCTATTTAATTAAGTAATAGATTTCAGTATATTTTCACACTATTTAGGCTAGATTACCAGCACAGTCAGTCACTTGAAATGATCTCTTACTATGCTACACTCTAAATTTTTTTTTCTATAGTTTGAACTGGGGTAGAACATCTATGTGATGGGTTTGCACTTCTTAACATGCAGTAGTTTCTGCTTTTAATAAGATAAACGTCAGTTCAGGCTGTTCATACAGCAGACTCAGGCCTTGCTAGTGAGGCCCAACTCCAGTATATTGAAGTGACCCTACTTGCTGGTAAAAAACCTGTTGGATGTGTGATGAGCCTTGCTGCCCTTACAGCCGTGTACGCCACAAGTGGTGAACAATCTGCAAAAGCAGTCCAAAGTAGGTTTTTCTTATCGGGTGCTGCTTGTAAACCCCCATACAGATATGGGGGCATGGATATGCCTCAGGGAGAATGGGGACCAGCGTGGGGATACTCTGGCAGAACTTGTATCTGCAGGTTAAAAATGTAATGCAAAAAAGGGGAAAGGGTTAGATAGTTTTAGCATGAGGTGTGTTAAAGCTTGTCCTTCTGTATCTTTTCAAGAAAGGCCTCTTTTAAATGAGAGCTTTAATGAGATGTTCTGTAATGTGTTGAAAATTTAGATACTCTTAATGAGAGAGCTGTCAGGGGCTCTCAGAGGAGAAACCAGCTTTGGTAGCCACAGACACACACACACACAGTCACATACTTTTTAAGAAGTCTTTTGAATGAAGGGAAGAATCAGCAGGTAGGCAAGAGGAAAAATTGGAGATACATTCTGGTAAAAAAAAGAAAATATTTTCCTGCATATTTGCACTAAGGCAGAGACAACTCTTTATCCATATTTAGGTTCATCTGCAGATACATAGTTACCAGCATTATCTCAAGTAACCAGGATGGTCTTTGGATTTTATCTTAATCCATATTGATGTATTATATAACTTTCTCAAAAGTAATAACTTCATCTGTGTTATCTCATATATATTCTTATTTTGGATAAATCAGTTAACAGTAACTGCATTTGTACTTTTTTACAATTGGAAACACTGCATCTATACAAATTTCATCCAGCAGTTGATCTCCTTTTCAAGTTAGAAACTTCTGTATCATTTTGATGCTTTATTCCTACATGAGCATGTCCTAAGAAACTAAAAATGAAAGTTACTTAAAATTCTCCAAGCAGCCAAAAGACCTGATCAATATTCTTGGCTAGCTACCTGAAAACTGCCACTCACTCTTCAAAGAGATTCCCTTTTGAGTATATCTTACTGGGAGAGAGAATAAAAAAAAAAACAATAAAAAAAACCAAACCCAAACAAGCATTACTAACCCATTTTTAATAAATAGAGGCGTAAGCATAACTTCATTTGTACTTTAACTTAGCTTCCATCTCTCTTGTATGTCTTAGCAATGAAAGGGAGAGAAGGGGAGAAAATGAACTTGCTGCTAACTTTTTCTTTTCTTTTTCATTTTAAGCATTCGAACCGTCCTAAAGCTTTAGAGCCAAATGCAAACTTTCCAGTTGGCCAGCAACATGGTAACTGTCCTTTTGTAATGGGATTTCTAATAGAAAGTAGAATCAAGAAAACAAAAACTCACTGGGACTAAGACGACGGATGTATTTTAGGGTGAGCATTCTGAGTATTAAGTAACAAAAAACTGGCAACAACTGAATAGCACTACGTAATTAGTGCTGGTTGTGAAACCTCTATTTCTGCACTTGTTCTCCACATTCAATAGTGCCTAACTCAATCTACTTAATAAAAGCTTATTGCTAAACACAGTGTTGGAATTACTGAGCATTAAGACTGTGACTATGATTGCTGTGTCTTGCTGTTTTCCTCTGGTGACTTTACAGTGTGTGAACATGATGGAGGAAGAGCAGAGTCAGTAGTAAATGTGGGATTCATTTGACAGAGCAGTTTGCTAAGCACAGCTGGGTTGGAAAGCACCATTGCTGCGCCATAACCATACTTGAAAGAGTGGCAAGAATGCCCCACAGCTCTCAAGCTTCTGAGGCTGTTCTAGCATGCAAAGGATGTACCATCCGACTGTACCTCAAAGCCAGCTGTTAGAGCAGAGCGAGGTGGATGTATGACACAAGTATCCAGGAATACCTCTGTTCACTTGGGAAGTCCATGTTCTACCTTACTTCCTACCTGGCTCACTGCAGAAGCCGCAGGCACGCCTGCTGAAACAATGAGAGCAGAGACTACTCTAGTTGTTTGCCCTAGTGGTGTCCTCCAAGAATTCAGTAGCTCAGTTTTACCATTTACTTAATCTTGCTGGCTATTAAAGCAGCTTTGGGAGCCAACTGCAAAATAAGCGTGTGGGACTGTTTACTATTTAGTCAGAAACAGCATCATGCCATTAAAGCAGGGAACATCACTGTTTTGTTCTCCTGTTCTCAAGAGCAGACTGTTCCTAACAGTAGAGCACTGTGTGATGAAGGCTTCAGGTTTTTATAGGATTTTTGTTTGTTTGTTGGAAGGGGAGGGCTTAAGTCTTCATTTTGGACTTGCAGCAATATGTTTTTTTTTGTAACTCTAGTCTGACTGGACAAAATTTGAAACCTGGAAGCAGTGCCATGTGCCCAGAAAAACAAGAGGAACAGCAGAAAACAGACTGCAAAGCGGAGGCAGAAATGCCACACAGTTAAAGTTAGGTACAGAAAAATCAGGCCTTTTCAGTGAACCAAAGACACTGATTAAGACAGAAGTTTCATATTTTAAGGGAGCATGGTCAAAACAACTGTTAACAAAGAACTCTGAATGCAAACAGTAATCTTATTAGAAGAAATTGCCTCTCACAGCCAACAACTACTTTACCCCAGGACCCTGCTACACAATTGGGACAATTACATCTCCATTTGTCATTGGAAAGATATCCCTAGAGCATTCTGAAAATAGTTTAAGGTAGCTGCATTTCTAACTTCATTTCAGAGTAAACAAAAGAGTTAACTCCTGTAAATGTTTTAAGAATACAATTTTGAGCATCTGGCAGAAAAAGTGTATTATGTACTACAGAAGTGAACCCTCCAACAGAGCAGTGAAGTGATTCCTCAGTACCTTGTAGTTCCAGAAATGCTGGCTGAAGATTAGAGAATTCAGGAGAAAACTTGCTGTCAAGCTGTTCCAGTGAGAGCATTCTGTAACTACATCATGGTGTCAGTAGAATATTAGCTCAACATCTTAGCAAAACTACCCCCAACTGGATCTGAGATTTAAAATGTTAACACTAACGGTTGTTCCTCTAGGCTGCACAGACTAGATCAAGACCATACACCTCATGTTGTTTGTTTACATTATTTCTTTTGAGAATCTGCATCTTAAGAGCATTTGTGGAAAGCTAGTCTTGTGATACCAGGGTAAGTCCAAAACAGAGACATTTAGTGATACCAGGACACTCAGGTCAAAGACTTAGAGCTTCTTCCCTCCCTGAAAAATTGATGTCCCAGCCCTTTGATAGCAGTTTTCAGACTACTCTATCCTGCAAAGCACTTGATTGAATGGAACGTGTTTGAAGTAGTCTCTCTGAACATGCTCAGCTGGCAAAGGGCCTCAGAACACAAGAGCTCATACCCCATTCTTGATGTCAAGGTACTGTCTTGAACTGTGCCATCCTGGCAACTGTAAGGACTTCAGTGGACAGAAGGTTTCTACCAAATGACTGTACATGAAATATGTATGTGCTGGCTGTCATATAAAAGATGCAGCTTGTCTCCTCTCCCAGTGCTATTACTCTTACTCAGTGTTAGCTATCGAATCTTCTCACCTTAAACATTCATGTCAATTCGCAGAAACAGCATGAAGTTTCCACACTCTTACATGACAGTATAAAGGGAAAATACTTCAAGAGATTGTTTCAGAATTAATTTCAGGATTGTGTTTCTGGCAAAAATGTACAAAATTTCTGAAAAATTCATTAGAAAGTAGATTTAAGTTGCGGTGGGGTTTTTTTGGTTGATTGTTGTTTTTCCAGCAGATGGCAACTTAAGTAAGAAAAATAATTTCCCAAATCCAGTCAGTGGAAAAAACAGCCTTTCACAATATTTTTATTAGACAAGTTTTGTTTTCCAGGATGATGTATTACTTCACGTTTAAAGAAGTGGTGTAGATGCTAAGCATTCCACGTGTTTAAAAATACTGTAGTAGTATGAACTTAGTATTAAAAGTTTTCATGCTGTGAAATCAATCCATAGGCAGAAATGCATAGCATCATAGATTACCTATATTAAAACTGTGCAATACTAAATTTGGTTGTATTAGCGCAAGGACAGAAGAGGTAATCAAGTGGCACGTGTGCAGGGCGACTTTTAACACCAGCTTCACGCATCTACCAGTAGGGCTTGCACTGGTGCAAGCAAGCAAACCTGCACAGAATTGAGAATGCTATGTCTGGTTTGGAATCAAAAAAATGAAAGGGAAAAAAAAAACTTATTTCTGTTAAAAGCAGCTGCAACTTTTATTTTATAGACCAAAAATGAAGCCCCTCCCTGTCACACACACACACACACACACACACACACACACAGAAAAGGCAAAACCGTTGTAACCATTCACGTGAATGGTATGGTGGGTTAACCTCCAGGACAGTCATCTCCTCCATATGTTACATCTCATTCAACACAGGTAATTTCACTCAAGTTCTACAGTCTGTTTTGTTAAAATCTACACACGCGCACACACACGCACACGTGCTCTATATGCATAATTTCAGGTCACTTTACTGCATAATTAAAAATAATAATAAAGGTAATGAAAACATCGCAATGATACTCCTGGAGCAACAGAGGTCTGAGGCACTCAGGGCAGAGAAGACATTTGCTGGCAAATTTGGTATTTGGTAGCACACACAAGTCCAGTTCTATGAAGCACTAACCCCTTTCCCCCACCTAAATTCTGCAGTGCCGAGGGGAGCAAAGGTACACAGTGCCTCATATGCTCGGGTCTGCTGTGGCAACAAATTCACCAGACACCTTGTACGCCCATGATTGTATGATTCAACTGCTTTAACTATGGGTTTAACTATTTCTTGCATTACAGTGGTGTAAGACTTAAGTCTGCAACAGGGTCTGAAAATTTGTTCATTACAATTCAGAAGGAAAAATAAATTCCCTCAGCAGAAACCAAAGATGATGGAAAAGGAGTGGGCATGGGAAAAGAAAGGGTAGAGAGAAGAGAGGCTTAATCAATGCAGACTCCTTAACGTTTCCAGGTCATCGTGACCCGTTAGAGAAAATAAAGGGTGCATATACTAACATTACCCACTCTATACCCAGTCTGAGGAAAAAAGATCAGTTTTCATAGCTACCCCGTTTAAAAATTAACAAAAGAAAATGAATACAGCATTGAAGGCATTTCATTTTTCTCACACTCAGACTTGTTTTCAGATATATACTCATTTCACCATCAAATCTTGCAAATCCAATCCCCACAGCTACTGTGGATTTACCTTTGAAAAAACGCCCCACAGTTCACGCATGCAGGGATCCCACGAATCATGGGATCTTTCTGATTCTCATTTGATTCCTTGACCTAGGCAACTCTGACATAGCAGCTTCACCAAGCTTTTAGAGCAGGAGAGCGCCTGCAAATACTGCTTCACCGAGAAGCAGTATATTCAGGGAGCTGCATATACGATAGAATTTATAACTTTTCCCTGCAGGAAGCCCATACTATCAAATCCCCAGCAAGAGAAACAAGTCCTGCCGTTAACAGCATAGAGGCCGTCAGCAGAGAGATGGGGACAGATTAAAGGTGAGGGTAACCTATTCTTGGCAACATGCATGTCTTCCTCCTTTCTGCCTCCTTTCTCAACCAATAAACAAGGCCCAGCCCATCAGAACAGTATCTGCAGAAGCAGGAGCAAGTCTTTGGAACTAGAAATGCTTAAAATCTCAGGTGCCACTCACATACCAAGAGTGACATGGCACACTGAAGTAGTGGAAAAAAAATACCTGGATCCCAAAATGTCAAGTCCCGGTGGGAAAGGCTACCCACACTTTTCTAGCTAATATCATGGCAGCAACAGAAGCAGGTGCTAAAGAGATCATTGAAGAAAAAAGAAAAATACAGCATGAGTGTGTAGGTAGGAGGAAAGCAGGAAATTCTTTAAATTGTTCTCTGCTTTTCCAGACATTGGATCAGGCTCTTCAAGATATTCCTCTTATCTACAATCACTGAGAACAAAGTAAACGATGACATCTCTCTATTCTGTACTCTTTTAAAAAAATGCATAGTACAGAGACAAGGAAAAAAAAAACCATGTATCGTTCAGATCCACCTGCTCAGTCTAGAGTATCACTGGGACATGAAATGGGGACGAATACTATCCAGGCGCCGGGTCAATATCTCACAGCCTGTATCAGTGACCAGAAGCGTGTGTTCAAACTGGGCAGATCGCTTTCCGTCTCTGGTTACCGCAGTCCAACCATCAGGCCATGTTTCATCTTGCCAACCACCTAAAAACATAAATGATGACTTTTTGACTGTTCTTAAATAATAGAGATCAATTCCCTAAAAAGAAGAAATCATAGAATCATAGAATGGCCTAGGCTGGAAATCTATCAACTATACAGAATAGAACCAGCATCCCCTCCATCACGACTTGACATTAAACAAGAGTAACCTTTTTAATTCTGTTGCTAAATTGCTCACCTTCACAGATCATAGGCTCAATTGTAAATACATGACCTGGCTTCATGACTCCAACTGCTTTATTTTCTGCAATGAAATAAACACTCAGGTTAAAAAAAGTGATCCCATCTTAGTAAATAA